GTTGGCAGTAAGAGCAGCAGTGGCAGAAGCAAGTAGCCTTAGGCTCAAGCCATGGTCTGGGGTCAGTGTGGCCAGCAGCGGTGGCACCTCCATGACCACACGAGTGCAGACAGATATCCCTCAGCACAAGCGCTGCTTCTCCCCATAATTTCTAGGGGTGGCCCTGCCAGAGGTCGCACCCATTATGACAAATTTCGGGTTCACAGGAATCCTGCTAACTATGCCAATTGTAAGTCCAGGGAAAGGAAATCCGGGGCAAAATACCCTTAAAAACTAAAATCAGTCAGAGGAAGAAAAAGTTTAAAACCCGTTTATTGCTCACAAACTGCAGTTCCAGGCTGTCTTTCTTCTCTGCTCAAGCAGCAACCACACCGGTCCTCCCCCTCACCTCTCAGGTACAGATAAGCTCTCTGTTGCCCAGGTAATTACCCATTGATATGGAGATGAACTTTTCCACCCCTGAGGAAAGATGCAAATGCACTAAAGCCATACTTCTCTCCACCTCTGAACACCTGTTGATATGCAGATGTACTAAAGGGAGGTGAGATATTCTGGAAATATTACAATTTTACCCACGCTAACTTATTGTTGAACTTTGCAAATTCATGAACAGATAGAATTACAATCTGTATGTTAGAACCCACTTGTTAAATGTGAGCGCAATTTAGATTTTATAAGCTAGATTAGCAAATCTCTCTTGGAGGTGTTCAGAATTTTTGCTAAATATATTTGTTTAGAATCATGTCATAATAGGTGTATTTGTCACTTTTTTGACTTTATATAGGTCTTTCTTTTTCTATAGTGACCATAGTTCACATCCCTATGTTTATAAGTTTTCAGTGGAGGTCAATGCACATCTAAAACCCAACTTCTCTTCCTCATCTTTATCTGTAATTATTTAATTTGTTTAAAATTGACTTAACTAGTAATTTTCTATATTTAGGGAAAAATAGTCACAGGAAATTAAAGTTATGGGCATATTTTTTCTTGCAATTTCAGAAGAATCATCTTTTTTTCTAATCCAGAATCAAAAAGGGAGACATTGTTAAGGAAAGCACTGATACTGAAGTATAAACCTCAAACTAAGAGAAAAATGACATGAACTGTATTCTGAAATCCTCCCCAAAATGAGTTTAAATCCCACCTCTGATATCTGCCATCTAAAACCTGAGTTGTATAGGGAAAATCACAACACACTCGAGTGTTTTCTTATTTAAAATTGAGGATAGTGGTTCAAATTTGTTGAGATTATATGATTATATGTTTTATTATGGGACAACTGAGACTATTAACCTAGAACCTCCATAGGAAAGAGATCATGAATCTCTTCCATGTTGCTGTGAATCCAACACTCTAGTGTAAATGGGGCTCAATGAATATTTATTTAATAAATAATAAACATGGAATGTTATACTAAAAACTGACATGTAAATTAATTGGTACACTCATAGATACTCAGCATTAATATATATTCCCCTCTTATAAATTTGAGTTGGCCCTTTCATGTTTTTCATTTTTATAATTTTTTATATGTGTTTTGTCATTTTGTTGAAGGTGAAATTCTGCTGAAACTGTTAACATTTTTGAACATTATTAATCATTTTCATGGATAAGCATATTATATTTAAATTATATTTGAAATTTATTTCACAATGATCCATCATTAAATCATACTACAAAATTCAATAGAAAAAGTAAAATGCATTAACAATAGAAGAGATTTTCATGGATTTTCTTTAAAATAACTGTGCAGTGTTTTGTAGGGAAGGCCTCCTGCTTCCCCAACTGTTCTATGAGGACAGCTGCCCGCTGCTTCACCCCAGGTATGTCTGGCCTTGAGAAACCTGTTGTATCCATGGGAAAAGCTAGATAAGGGCCTTGAAGGCCAGATCCCATGAAGGACATATGCATGCGCACCTTAAAACACTTATGTAACCATGAATTAGCAGTATAGCAGTATAAGAAGTACAGCTGTGTGCAGAAGAAAGTGGCTTCTTTGACTACCCTGCATGACTACTCTGGCTGCCTTCTTTGCTCTTCTTGTTACCCCAAAACCTCAACGGCAACCCCCGGACCCTAACACATTTCAACAGAAAATTGCTTTTCTTATCTTTCCACATCTGCAGCTCATGGGAACCCTATAAGTCTCCAGGCAGATTATGGCTTTATGTAAACGAAGAAAAGAAAATTTAAACTGAGAGATTTTCCATCCCATGAGCAGCACTGTTTAAAGAAAAAAACAAATGGCTTTCCTTACTTACATGTCACAGAGAAACAGGTTTAAATCACTAAAGCCCTGTAATGTGAGTCATGTTTAGAAATTTAGCAAAGCAAAAAAAGAAAAAACCTTCAGTGCTAAGTATCAGCACCTGATTGACACAGCTGCCCTTCTAAAGTGTCTAAACGCCTCATTTACCTTAAAATGTAGCTCGAATGTCTCAAAAAGTTCAAAAAACAGATGAAAGATTGCTTTGACATCAGTCCTTAAGAATTAGTTTTATATTCAGTTCTTTTGTTAAACATGGTTATTTGCCCTCACCCTTGGGTTCTCTCTCTTTGAAGGTATAATCTAGTTAAATTTGGAAAGAATTAATTTACATCATAATATTCCAGGATAGAAGAGGATTAAAAACAGTTATTGAACCAATCTCCCACAGTTTCTTGAATAGACTCCACAATAATAGCTATGGGAAATTCAACACATTTGGGTACCTCTAGAGATGGCAAACTCACTATTTGTCAAAGAAACCATAGCATCATTGTATACTCAGGTTTAACAAAAGATCACACTTCCACTGAATTGAAGTGTGGGTATTTTTAATTGCCAGTCATTACTAAATTTTCCTATATGTAGCCATCCAGAATAAATCTCATATTTTTCTAGATTACAGAGGCACACTCATTTCACAATGAAAAGTAATGCCTTGATTTTTAGTCTAAATTATGCTACCAGTTTTTTCCACCTGCTCTCAAATGATGTATAATAAAAATGTTTCATTTGAAGATTGTCTATAATGTGCAAATAAGTAACAAAATCATTATCTATAATGAATTTCCCCAGTTAATTAGTATATTTTTAAAAGGAGATGGTTCTGTTACTTAAATTTTCTAACTTACATAATTTGTGATGAATGGAAGCAAATGTGTATTGATAATTTTCAAGCAGTGTGCTACCTATGTAAGACAGGCACACTTCTGAATACTGTACTAATACTAATTTATTTAATTCCCATAACAACTTATAACAAATACTTTTATGAATCCGATTTTATGGAAGAAAAAAATGGATATTTGAGAATATTTTTTTCAAGATCATATATTAAGGAAATAATAGAACTGAGATTTAGATGCAGGTTTGCCTCCAAAATACTTTTTCTTAACTAAGCAATCTTATAAGGTAGGTATTATGAGTCTCATTTTATAATTGTAGCAACTGAGATAGAGAGATTAAAGAATTTTCTTATGATTATTGGTTAAGTGGAGATCTGGAATACATATCCTGTAGAAAGAACAGATAGAAGAAAATTAAAATGTAAATTAGCAAGAATAAATGTAAGATAAAAATAAAAAAGCTAAGCCTTTACTAAGTTTCATCAAACTGAATTGATGAATTGAATATAGTGATATTAAGACTGTATATGGTCATTTAACAGTTTGTGTTTAAGTCCACTGACTCAGTAGCTTTCCCCTTTTAAATAACAGAATTTAATTTCATCTACTTTTTTAATTACTGAGAGTCAATGGGATCTATTAAAACATATAATTCATATTGATGGCATTGCCTCCAGTTTACATCTGTTCAGCTGCTGCTTCCAAAGCCTCTGTTGGCTCTTGGCAGACGTTGCTGTTCCCATTTCTTTAATGTACCAATCTTCTGGGCTCCTGTGCTCTTGTTCAACCATGCACACAATAACAATGGTCTGCCCTGATTTTTTACCTAGAAGTGCCTTTTTTTCTGTGCTTCACCAATTACAGCTATGTCTCTAGATGCTTCTGTATCTCAAGCTGTTTGAACTAGGAAAATGCATTTTCTATCTCTTGCATTTTGTAACAGAGTACCTTGTGTTCTGTGCATAGGACAAATGTTGACTGCAGCATCCATTCACAAACTAACTTTGATTTCCCTCTAGGAAACACCATTAGCCTCAGGCCATTAGGGGTCAAATAAAGCTGACACCACTTTTAACTCACAGAAAACATGACTGACACTTAAGCTAATATTAGAGAAGTGTTTGGTTTTGTGATGGAAATATGACTCATCAGGACAATGAAATACGAAAATTTTGTCAGATTGTCATGTGAGAAGGTCTGTAGATATTTCTCTGGGACCTGAAATTTAAGAACCAAATAGAAACTACCATTCTGCTGCACATGACATTTAAGAATAAAGATAAGAAATTGCAAAACAACCAAGAATTGTAAACAAATCTTGTCTGATGATTATGTTTGAACTCTGCATTGAATCATATCTAAAGCCTAGTCACCACCAGATAGTTCCGGTTTGAGTCTTTTGTAACTTTCAAGAAAAAAATTAGGATTGTCTTAACCTGTAATTTTCAGAAAGCCAACTCTAAGGCAAATGTTTATTTTCCATATTTCACTAGAATTGCAATCCAAGGAAACAAGAATGAGGAACAAAGGAAATGACAAGAAAAGAAGGAGAACCAACCGGAGACCACCAGGGATGACTGATCCTAATAAGCTGGCATCTTCTTTTTAGAAGTTATCACATGAGCTGTATCTCAGAACAGTCCACAGTGATGGCAAATACATCCATCAGCCCCTATTTCATACTGGTCAAAGTTTCTGCCCATGGAGAGTAATTCTCCCCATACTTCTGGGTTTAAAACTTGGCATTCAAAGTAGGGTTCCAAGGTATCCCAAGCCTTTAACACTGACAAAGACTCTCTCCTTAACCAAACCCCAGTCAGGCTCCACAATCCCTTTCCAACTAAGCCTCACTCTTGTATCTTGACCTCAAGAACAAGAATCCTTCTAAATCAGTTTAGGGGAAATTTCCCACTCCCAATATCTGATTGCCCTTCATAACTCATCAAATCCTCATTCCGGTCAAGTCAGTTTAGCCAGAAATCCCCCTCTTGACCCTGAGTTTCCCACTGAGCATTTCCATCCACTGCTCCTGACCCTGTCCCATGGCCATGAATCCCCATTTGTCCATGCTGTTTTCAAATTAAGCACAGTTAAATATTCAGATCCTTTTTTTGCCTGTTGCAAGTAGGAGTAAACTGTATTTTTACCACTTCACTGTCAGGCTCTGATTTTATTTAACATCAGTGGGAAATATGGAGTGGGAAACAGGAAGTTTTGGTGACATACTGTCAGGTGAACCTTTGTGATGCTGGTCAAAGCCCCTCATTGAGCTGGTTATGGCAACAATGGCTGAGACAAGAGGCTCCTGGGGGATCTAAGATGCTTCACAACAGGTACCTGATAAATCTATATACCCTAGTGATTTAGCTCTTCTAGTTTTATTTATGACACTGGGAGGGACTTACTTACATGTCACAGAGAAACAGGTTTAAATCACTAAAGCCCTGTAATGTGAGTCATGTTTAGAAATTTAGCAAAGCAAAAAAAGAAAAAACCTTCAGTGCTAAGTATCAGCACCTGATTGACACAGCTGCCCTTCTAAAGTGTCTAAACGCCTCATTTACCTTAAAATGTAGCTCGAATGTCTCAAAAAGTTCAAAAAACAGATGAAAGATTGCTTTGACATCAGTCCTTAAGAATTAGTTTAATATTCAGTTCTTTTGTTAAACATGGTTATTTGCCCTCACCCTTGGGTTCTCTCTCTTTGAAGGTATAATCTATTTAAATTTGGAAAGAATTAATTTACATCATAATATTCCAGGATAGAAGAGGATTAAAAACAGTTATTGAACCAATCTCCCACAGTTTCTTGAATAGACTCCACAATAATAGCTATGGGAAATTCAACACATTTGGGTACCTCTAGAGATGGCAAACTCACTATTTGTCAAAGAAACCATAGCATCATTGTATACTCAGGTTTAACAAAAGATCACACTTCCACTGAATTGAAGTGTGGGTATTTTTAATTGCCAGTCATTACTAAATTTTCCTATATGTAGCCATCCAGAATAAATCTCATATTTTTCTAGATTACAGAGGCACACTCATTTCACAATGAAAAGTAATGCCTTGATTTTTAGTCTAAATTATGCTACCAGTTTTTTCCACCTGCTCTCAAATGATGTATAATAAAAATGTTTCATTTGAAGATTGTCTATAATGTGCAAATAAGTAACAAAATCATTATCTATAATGAATTTCCCCAGTTAATTAGTATATTTTTAAAAGGAGATGGTTCTGTTACTTAAATTTTCTAACTTACATAATTTGTGATGAATGGAAGCAAATGTGTATTGATAATTTTCAAGCAGTGTGCTACCTATGTAAGACAGGCACACTTCTGAATACTGTACTAATACTAATTTATTTAATTCCCATAACAACTTATAACAAATACTTTTATGAATCCGATTTTATGGAAGAAAAAAATGGATATTTGAGAATATTTTTTTCAAGATCATATATTAAGGAAATAATAGAACTGAGATTTAGATGCAGGTTTGCCTCCAAAATACTTTTTCTTAACTAAGCAATCTTATAAGGTAGGTATTATGAGTCTCATTTTATAATTGTAGCAACTGAGATAGAGAGATTAAAGAATTTTCTTATGATTATTGGTTAAGTGGAGATCTGGAATACATATCCTGTAGAAAGAACAGATAGAAGAAAATTAAAATGTAAATTAGCAAGAATAAATGTAAGATAAAAATAAAAAAGCTAAGCCTTTACTAAGTTTCATCAAACTGAATTGATGAATTGAATATAGTGATATTAAGACTGTATATGGTCATTTAACAGTTTGTGTTTAAGTCCACTGACTCAGTAGCTTTCCCCTTTTAAATAACAGAATTTAATTTCATCTACTTTTTTAATTACTGAGAGTCAATGGGATCTATTAAAACATATAATTCATATTGATGGCATTGCCTCCAGTTTACATCTGTTCAGCTGCTGCTTCCAAAGCCTCTGTTGGCTCTTGGCAGACGTTGCTGTTCCCATTTCTTTAATGTACCAATCTTCTGGGCTCCTGTGCTCTTGTTCAACCATGCACACAATAACAATGGTCTGCCCTGATTTTTTACCTAGAAGTGCCTTTTTTTCTGTGCTTCACCAATTACAGCTATGTCTCTAGATGCTTCTGTATCTCAAGCTGTTTGAACTAGGAAAATGCATTTTCTATCTCTTGCATTTTGTAACAGAGTACCTTGTGTTCTGTGCATAGGACAAATGTTGACTGCAGCATCCATTCACAAACTAACTTTGATTTCCCTCTAGGAAACACCATTAGCCTCAGGCCATTAGGGGTCAAATAAAGCTGACACCACTTTTAACTCACAGAAAACATGACTGACACTTAAGCTAATATTACAGAAGTGTTTGGTTTTGTGATGGAAATATGACTCATCAGGACAATGAAATACGAAAATTTTGTCAGATTGTCATGTGAGAAGGTCTCTAGATATTTCTCTGGGACCTGAAATTTAAGAACCAAATAGAAACTACCATTCTGCTGCACATGACATTTAAGAATAAAGATAAGAAATTGCAAAACAACCAAGAATTGTAAACAAATCTTGTCTGATGATTATGTTTGAACTCTGCATTGAATCATATCTAAAGCCTAGTCACCACCAGATAGTTCCGGTTTGAGTCTTTTGTAACTTTCAAGAAAAAAATTAGGATTGTCTTAACCTGTAATTTTCAGAAAGCCAACTCTAAGGCAAATGTTGATTTTCCATATTTCACTAGAATTGCAATCCAAGGAAACAAGAATGAGGAACAAAGGAAATGACAAGAAAAGAAGGAGAACCAACCGGAGACCACCAGGGATGACTGATCCTAATAAGCTGGCATCTTCTTTTTAGAAGTTATCACATGAGCTGTATCTCAGAACAGTCCACAGTGATGGCAAATACATCCATCAGCCCCTATTTCATACTGGTCAAAGTTTCTGCCCATGGAGAGTAATTCTCCCCATACTTCTGGGTTTAAAACTTGGCATTCAAAGTAGGGTTCCAAGGTATCCCAAGCCTTTAACACTGACAAAGACTCTCTCCTTAACCAAACCCCAGTCAGGCTCCACAATCCCTTTCCAACTAAGCCTCACTCTTGTATCTTGACCTCAAGAACAAGAATCCTGCTAAATCAGTTTAGGGGAAATTTCCCACTCCCAATATCTGATTGCCCTTCATAACTCATCAAATCCTCATTCCGGTCAAGTCAGTTTAGCCAGAAATCCCCCTCTTGACCCTGAGTTTCCCACTGAGCATTTCCATCCACCGCTCCTGACCCTGTCCCATGGCCATGAATCCCCATTTGTCCATGCTGTTTTCAAATTAAGCACAGTTAAATATTCAGATCCTTTTTTTGCCTGTTGCAAGTAGGAGTAAACTGTATTTTTACCACTTCACTGTCAGGCTCTGATTTTATTTAACATCAGTGGGAAATATGGAGTGGGAAACAGGAAGTTTTGGTGACATACTGTCAGGTGAACCTTTGTGATGCTGGTCAAAGCCCCTCATTGAGCTGGTTATGGCAACAATGGCTGAGACAAGAGGCTCCTGGGGGATCTAAGATGCTTCACAACAGGTACCTGATAAATCTATATACCCTAGTGATTTAGCTCTTCTAGTTTTATTTATGACACTGGGAGGGCGTCCCACGATAGAATTTCCTGGAATGCTAATTTCATCATTTTTTAAAATTTTACTTCATAAACATCTCCTTTGAAGGTCACATAATAATGTTCTTTGACAGATGGTTGAGTTGGGATTGGTTTAAGTGTACATCTATACTGTTCTTTGAGTCCTTGATCCCTTACAACATAAGCATACCAAGGCTAAGTCACAGAGGCAGAGAGAAAAAGCTTTGGCTGCATTCATTCATTTCATTTATCTTCTTCTCCAGGAGACTGAATAGTTGAGGGCAGAGGAAAGGTTGAGGTACAGAGGAAGTCAGGGGCCCTAACCATTACACTGCAGCAACCCACACCAGCAGGCTTACTGGTAAAAACACATGAAATGTTATCCTGGAAAAAACAGTGTTTTAGCTGTTGTATTTATATATATTTTTAATGTGACTTTTGTATTTTGAGATTTTTAACACACCTTCAGATTTCCATGAGTATTATGTTCATCTTTGATTTGCCTGTTTTCAGGTCTTACTCCCTTGGATGAAGTTATTTTGTCTTCTTGAGATATGTGCTTTCTAAAATGGGTACAAGATAAATATTTGATCAAAGTCTAGAAATATTTGTATATACTTCATGTGCAAATTATCAAAATAATTATGCCAGTTAAAAAGAGGTGTGGAACATGTAATAAATTTTATCCTACACATGCGTTCAGTTTTCTTCAGTTTTATTTTCAATAACTTCCAATTTATATTTTATGTACTTAGTGCAGTTTGAGTTGTCTTAAATGCTTTTCTGAACCCAAGCAATTTAATACACTTTAGAATTGATTTTCAATCCACTGCTTTATTGCTTGCTCTATCTTTTTTATCCATCCAGGTGAAATCATCACACAACTTTCTACGATTTTCTCCTTATGTTTTTAGTAAAATATATCAAAAAGGTTTTTCTTTATCCATATCCTCATGTATATGACACTTTTAATTCATGCTTATGATACTGTTTGTGACATAGACTTCACAGTGGTCTACTTTCTTCAAACTAAGAATATTTTATCTAGTACAGGAGTTTGTTGATATTTGTAAAGAAATGAAAAGGTGGGAGTAAGTGAATTAACTCTTGCCCAACAAAACTGATGACATTTTCACTTGGGTGAGAACCATAGCTGTTTTGATTGCCACTGCATACCTAGTGCCTAGCAAAAGTCCCCAGTGTATTCTTGAATGGGTGAATAATGAAATCTCATTCATAGATAGTTAACTGAAGAATTAGTTGATATGTGCAACTTCTGTCCAGTTAACAGCATCCATCAAGCATTCATCTTTACTGATTGTTTTTCCCTTTTCCCCTTGCAGAGTTCTATGACCATGTCAAGTTAACAAATGAAAATAACTACCTTCTCTAAACACACACACACACACACACACACACACACACACACACTATCCCAATTTCACTGAATCCTATTGGGCTTTATTTGTGAGGATTTCATTTTATCTTAGGCAGGTCTGCCACTTTAGCTTTTGTGGAAACTGTAGTCTAAAAATTTGGAATCCAAGAGCACAGCCTAAATACTCAAAACATTATATAATGCTGGCAAGTTTTCCTGGTTAGTTCAGGGGGCCAGGAATCAGATAAGAAAATGTGTTTAAGCTTATCACAACTGCCTCCCAGTGAAGTTCTTTCATTATAATTTTCCTGGACTCAAAGAATTTGACTGACCAAACATGTTAAGTTTTGGTGCTGTC